CCCCCCCCCCGCACGAAGCACTAACTTCGTAGATGTACTCTTTGCTAAAAAGGCGTGTTACTACTTGCCGTGGGACTCCTAATAACATCCATCGCTTAAACAACGAGGTGTACAAGGCTAAAGCTACACAGCTTGTCTAACTTCAAGGCTGACATTGCAGCATCTCGTACCAAACTCATCCCGCTGTGAATATGAACACAAGCAGTCAGGGCTATCTTACAGCTCTGGGGCAAAGCCCTGACACCCATACGCGTACGGAGAGCGAAGTGAGCGTTAACAATGTGCTCTCCGAATATAGCAAATACCACAGTTTACATTCCATCAGGAGCATTGCCTGCGCTTAAGGCAGCGGTGACTAAGTAAATCCTTAATGCCGTTCAAATTGGATCTCAATTATTGAATGCAGGCAGGAGTGCCGAAGAGTATGGTACTCGGCTCGCGCGCTGTATAACGAAGACAAGTTGCTTTGTCCATCTTACAGCGTCAGATTTCATCTTCAGCGAGGCAAATGTCCGGCTAGAGTGTCATCATTTGCTTGGAGAAAAAGTAGCGAACGCGCTAAATTCAGCCGATCACGGTCATAGCAAAATGGAATTTGAGCTACACTTTCTACATTCTGTAGAGAATTTAAACATGTGCTGTATCCTACTGAAGCGTCTTAAAGTCATTTCACGATCCGACTTTCACGAGCCAGTCGGATATTAAGCGCTCTATTGAAGACGAAGTAGTGTTACTGTTATCCCTGCAGTTATGCTACTTGCAGCATTACAATTTGAAGCCGCTGTGGGTGCCTTCAGCCATTCAGGCCGATGGCGTAGCTCCGGAGAATGCAACTGAATCCTGACCTTTTTCGCCTCATTCGGAGGGTTACACGAGAGACAGCTGCGAAAGGATCGTCCTTTACCGGTACTTTACAATGAGCAAAAGGGTTGCCCGATATCAAGTACAGTGATTAAGGGACAGCCAGCATCACCGGAGCTGTTGTCAGTATACCTAGCAATGAGGAACACCATCCCTATTCTTAAAGCTTAGAGAAATTTGAAGTCCCATTTTGGCAATATTGCCCCAGCACCGGACACTTCCGATTTTTAATACACATACATCACTCGGCGGGTCACTCGGTCCCACTAGAAAGTGAAAGCCGACCATTTTCAAAATTCAGGACTTGATCCATATATGCAACAGCTGTCTCATGACGATGAACGGGGTTGCTTACCGCTCAGATTGGAGGTGATGAGTTCCGCTCGTTGCGACCTTCACGAAAAGAAGTCAATACGGGACAATTGAATTAACAGCTGAAGTCATATAAATATGTTGTTTTATTTGAAATTTAAGTTTTATCTCGCTTAATGGAATAATATCCGATATGGACTTCGGTCGTTGCGATCTTGAAACGCTTTGGCCAAAGGGCACAAAGACCCCCAAGAAAAGCTGAAAGAAAATAGCAAATTCCTCTTCTCTTGTTTCCTTGCTTCGTTGTACATATGAATGGTTACCTACGCAGCAAATGTTCATCGGAACAACAATTACTAAATGAGTTCGCCAAGCTTCTCGAAACTAAGGAAGTGGCGTCGCGAAAGATGGCGGATTTGCTGCGCGCACTTACATTTTTCTTTACGTCGGCAGCACGAGGATCGCGACTTCCATTCTCACTTCTTAGCGGTCTGTGCGTGCTCTTGCCGCAGCTCAAAGACAAAAGGGAATATCTTTTGCTAAAGGACGAGCAACAACGCATCGCACGTATCACTATTTGCCTTCTTTCTCGACTTATTGACCAGCTTGAGATAGAGACGACGAATCGGAAGAATTTACAACAACTTAATTGGGATCAGAGTGCAGAACCCGTGGAGCAACTGCTACATGACTTCATGTTACTATTGGAAGCAACCGTGATGAATCCTTGCGGACTTTTGATGCCTAGACAGCGAGCAACTATGCGATTGTACGCACAATTGTGTCGTAATTTCAACAAGAGACAGCAATTGACAACATACATTACAACACTGCTACAGCAATCGCCAGTACTTGCGCTTGATGATGTTTCAGCTGGTGGGAAGGGTAAGCGCTCATTGCCACTAACGCATGCACACTTTGGCGCCATAGCAGGAGCTTGTCATGCCTTACGTTTTCATACAACGCCAGATGAGCAAATTACTGTCGTGAACAGCTTGGTACAGCTTGCATTTATGCTACCAGCGAGTATAGCAGCTCGACATGCGGCGAAAACTTTGCTCTCGCTATTGACATCCTCATTGTTAAGTGAAGATCGAACGCCGCAAGCTGTAACTGTAGCAGAATCGATCGAAGCATATTTGCTAAAGGCACGACCTCGTACACTACTTGGTGGTGACTCTTTGACCAGTGTTTACTTGCTGCGTCTGTGTGGTTTACTTTTTCGTTCGTCTCTTTCTCAGTCTCAGCACAGTCAGAATTCCGCGGGGGTTAACTCTGATGTTTTAAATCATGACCTTGCAAGCCTAGCGACATCACCCGGTAAGACAGCACAGCAAGTGACTAATTTTCGTAGCTTTCTTGTTTCCGAAGCAATGAAGACACAGTTTCGAGATTATTTCATCGGTAGTATACAAGAATCTATGACCAGTAGACGTTCTGATGATACAGATGTATCTCCGACTGTGCTTTTAATTGCTGTTGAAGAAATCCTGCTTGGGACCTCACCAGAGGATTGTTATAAGAAACAGCCTAGTGCGGCATCGAAAAATATTTTTGATTTAGTCACGGCCGTGTTGTTATCCCTGCTTCCGGCTCAAAAGGATTTAAGTCGACTGACACGCAAATCTGTCACACTGCATCGTGTCTGCCGCGCTGTACAATTTGTTGCAGAGCGCATGGATGCTGCTGTTCTCCAAATTAATAAGTCTTCTGATCAGAAGATAGAATGCGACATCTTTTCAAATCAGCTTATATCGTGTATTCATTTGCTGACGAAATACGGTAATGATTTTGTTGCTTGTGAAGCTTTTCGTGCATTTGTTTGGTTACTACCGCGCTGCAACAGTAGTTGCGACGAAAGGAGTGATATAAATGATTGGGAAACACTTTTTTTGCAGCTAAATTCGCTTCCATTTCATCGGATCCAGCCAGAACGTCGCGCTGCGATCGCTTGGACATTATTTCGTCGCTGCGTAACTACTCCGATTCAATATGAGTATAAAATCGAAGCGCTGCATCTGTTAGGATGTCTTCGCATGGTATTGGCGTGGTTTCGGGCACGACCTTGTGTATGGCACGCTGCAATGCTAACCGCGATCTGGCAAACTGCATTGTGTGATGATTTTCTTGAACAACTCGGCAATGATGTGTTTTTATCGATCAACGAGCTACTTGATTATCAGCGTTTGCCTAGCGACAATGCTGCTGCAGATTGTCTTGTCGTGAAGCAGAGCACATTACAGTTTCTCAATCAGCGTGATGTATGCCTTCGATTTGCTGTTAGAAAGGAAGCATGGCATCGTCCACTGATAATGCGTCTCATGAAGCAAATTTGTTTAGAAACATCTACATCACAACGGCTTGGAATACAGGCCCTGTCAAATTTGTGTGTTGAGGCAAAAGTGCAGAAGCTCGACTCACTTGCCGACCAAGTCAACTGTATTTTGTCTATGGATACATTAAAGAATGATTTAAAAGGGAAACAGCCCAGATTGATCGCTGAGGTCTCTAAATAATATAACCTCAAGTGTTGGGTCGAGACTCGACGAGTCACTGAGATCAATCTTATTGGAGCTGCTTTACTGAGTATAGCACGAAGGGCGTGTTGGGTTACACATCTCAGATATGAAAGAATGTGTTGTTCGGACCACGAAAATGATTGTAACTTGAATTGAATATAGTTAAAGTGTCAGATTTGACGTTGTCAGCCATCAAAAGCAACGTAAATTAATCTCACTCTGCTACTGCTTCCACTAGCCCTCTGAGTAACTATGTCAATGTGCTACATGATTCATGCCGCTTGTGAAAGTAAACGGCACCTTGGCTAAACTCTGCATATTTTTCCTCCAATTCTCTGTCATATCACTCACCTTACCCTCCATTTCGGCAATTTTTCCCGTAGGCTTACGCTGCATACCCAGCGTCTCGAGATATGCAATTTGCTCACTCTTCTTCAGTCCTTTTATAACCATTATACTCTGAAAGTCCTCAGCGGTTCCATCTGGCCACATAATTTTGAAGCTTTCAACAAGCATTTCGTTCGGAGTGCCGATAAGCTTTAGTACATTCTCTACTATCGCCATTTCTTTCGTGACAAACTTAACATAGCGCGACGGGATAGTAGTCGTGCTCGTGATCGATGGTGAAACATCGTCTTTGATAAGCACTGGCAATTGAAGGAAGAGCGTCTTAAGTGCGTACACATCCAACAGCAGTTGCTGAGTAGCGACTTGATTTATCTTGCGGCACTTTAACACAGCTTGCAAGATCTTTGGCACGAAAGTGGTGGCAAACTTGTCACAAAAATTATTGAAGTACAAGCCAGACAGCATTTGACGCAAAACCGGCACATACGTTTGAAGCTTCTCGCCCATTTGAGTAACATACGAACTCTCATCACCAACTGCTTCCCATGACTGCCAGTTGATCTTAAGAAGCGCCGCTAAATCGTCGTCGAGCAATGACTCCAATCCTGAAACGATACATTTCATAGCATGGGTGCCCACATCATGAAATGAATCAATTTCATGAGAAAGCTCGATTGCTTCACTGAATGCCGTGTCAATTTTTGCCCGAATAACTTCCTCCAGAGATGGGAGTGTTTCGGCACAGTACTCTGCCGTATTGATTACAAAACAAAGCTCTTCTACCTGCTTCTCAGACAGCTTGATCTTTTTGTGTGTACCAATACTCGACGACTCTAAACTATCGGATGGTCCAGTCGAGGTGACGGGGAGTTTCTCGTGAAGTCGTTGTGAGTAAAGCTGAAAACAGCGTTTGAATTCAATATGAAGGTCAAAAAAGGTTTGCCCGTTTGTCAGCGCCAAACATCGTTTAATTGAATTACGAATATAAGCAAACATGTTGACCGAACTCGAAAATACAGGCAGCTGTCCGTTGCGATCTACCAATTCAGCGCTCGTGATTTCATTAATCATTTGTGCCATGTTCTTGCGCTCCAGTGATACATAAACCGTCATAAAGGGGTCAAATGAACGAGAGACCAGTCCACGAATTGTCGGTAATTCCTCAGTGTTATGGTTTGACAACGTGCCATTTTTCATCATATCTTCCTCTAATGCCTTCCGCATGACCTCCTGCTTTTCGCGACGATACTTCACTTTAATGCCTTCTGCTGAATGTGGATCAATAACTTCGCCATTTTTATTAAGCTCTATACCTTCAGAATCTTTATTGTCTGCAGGCCCTTCGAATCTATGCGCTGCATCGCGTTCAAACATTAGCGTTCGCTGTAAGCACTTAAGCAGCAGTGTCACATCCAGCTCCTCTGGAGTCTGTGCACCTATCTGCGCGAGTAAATGATTTCGAGTTATCTCACAAAAGTATATGCACAAACGTTGAGCCATTCGCCAATGAATTGGAAATACAGCATTAACTCGGTCTTCAATTGCAGTGAGGAGGTTGTAAAACCACATATATCTCGTCTCAGCATGCTGCAATCCAGAGCACTCTCCTCCGTTTCCGTATAATTTCTCGTAACTCATCAGCTGTTCGCCACAAAACAATTGGATCAGCTTTTCCCTTGTTCCCTTTCCCAATGCATTGACGACGGCACATGCCGCCGAGAGATTGGCAAAAACCGCTTGTCGCTCTTCATGTGATGTAAAATTCTCTTCTAGACATTCCATTGGTCCAATAGAACGAAAGTCGGCAAAGATCTGCTCTCCAAGCTCTTCCTGTAAAGTACGCACTGTCTTGTGAAGTTCAACGATCTTACTGACGTTCGTGTAGCCGTCAAAATGCGTATATAATTGGTTGACGGCTTCAAGGAGAGTGGCAGCTTCGCGATAATTTCGCTGTGAAGACATATATTCTAGCTGGTCTACTGCATTAACGAGCATATGTAGCCGCTTTAGGGCCGTGAGAGTTGTCTGCAGGTGGTGCTTGGCGTAGTCGAGCTGCTTGATATCACGGCAAATTTCTTGCACCATAATTTCAGACTGCTCCGCTTTTCCTCGTATATCTTTTATTTTGTGAAAAAGCTGCTGAGAAGCCACTTTTGCCTCCTTAAGATCTACAAGCGCCTGGTGAGCTACTAAGCTTTGTTCTTGTGACGCCTGAGATAGCGAATCGTCCAGCTCCTTCATGCGTCCACGAAGGCGAATGACAAAGTCACTGATGTCTTCTAGACTCTGCTCATCGGGAAAGTTCCGATTTATAAATTCACATGCATCGAACTCAGGTCGGTCCAGGACGTCCTCTGAGGGTAAAATCTAATGACAAAAAGAAAGTGAGCTGTAGCAAATATTGCTTCATGCAGGTTCAAATTACTTTGGCTAGCGTGTCCTCCACATTATGTGGAACTTTTCGATTTGATGTAGTGTCAACACTATCATTTTGCTCGTTGATGGAAGATAAGTCGCGATGCATTGTTCGATCTATTGGTTTATATCTGAATAACTATGAATATTGGAATATTATGTCCTTACTATGTGAACAAAATAATATGGTGGTGTATATGTATGAGGAACATAACATACGCACATCGTATGGCTCAATGAGCTTAATCACTGGGGGCCCAAGATGCGCAAATCGGCGAGCAATGATGTGCACACATGTGAAACGAGTCACATAAAGAACACTCGCCATTTTTTTGGACGCATTTACTCAGCCTACACGTTACCTTGAAGTACTACCAGTCCGCTTGTAAAGATGATTGGTAATCCTAGAGATTCGTTCCGTAAGACCGTCACATGCTCTTTGTAGACCGTGTGAGATTGACAACAAAATTCTCGCTAATTAGCAACACCCTAATGTACAAGCAAGCTGTTTCAAAACAGAGTCTATTGCTAAAATGGCTTGCCTGTATATTGCCAAAATGGCTTGCCTGTAAAAGTAGTTTGAGAAAGACAGGCTTGTAAAGCGAAATTCTGGCGAACCTTGTCTAAGATACTTGGTATCAGATTAGACAGACCGTCCTTAAACCAGTTACCGAACGGAATGCGTGAGTCGAGTGATAATGATTATATCCGTAGTACGTGCGCGTAGCGACCGCGGTGCTGCTCTTAGTTATTAAGCTTGTAATGAAAATCACAATTCATGCTGAAGGAATAGCGCAATCTCATACAAAGAACTCAGCTAATCAATACGCACCAGTTTAACTATAGGTTTGTAGCATATATTTGAGGTAGCAACGCTTATCGTGCATCAAAATGTGTCTCAGCTGCCTCATTGAAAATGTTTCGTAGGTCCTCGAGTGTGAAGACCGCGTCGTTTTCAGCAGGAGCCATTGGAGGACGTAAAGGAGAGGACTACAGGTGATGGCTAGTAAGGACAGGCACTTTAAAGTGAGTTGGAGAAATAGAATTTCAGATGCAATGAGCGGGGAAGCAGCGGGGCTGTCGTAGGTAAGCGCTTGAGGAAGCGTACTTTAGGTCACCCGAACTTTCGTACTTTACAAGAACCCAGTATGAGTAAGCAGATCATAATTTGCTCACTCCAAGAGTCTTTATTGCTTTCCCAAGGCTAATTGACTCTTCGGTTTGAATTCAAAACTGATTTTTATCAATTTTTTATCCTAATTTTAAAAGTTTAGATTTTCCTAGATATATTAAATATATATAGTAAAATCTAAATGCATGCATAATTACTGGCTACCTAGCCCCGTACCGTATTCTTGTTTGGGTGTAGTCACACCATGCACATCTCGTGTGACACACCCAACCAATTATCAGGGTTCGTGTTACCCCGTTACACCCACCCAATAGGGTTGAGAACATTTACAGTTCCAATCGATTATTGCCTGAACGAGGCTCGCGTGTACGCTAGACACTGCAGCTTATCGAAACGACTTCCGTGCTCAATGAGCCTGTGTCAATGACACCAAAATCTCCAAGTCTCGCTGTTTCTGACGGCGAGCACAAGCAGAGCCCAACTTCATCTCCCGCACTCAGTGCAACGTCGGTCAGTGCGTCCGCAGCACCGAGGGGTGTATATCCTAGGCTCGTTTAGCACAAGCGTCGCGCTCCGCACGCTTTCAGTGACGAACAACCTCGTTGAGGATGTGGGGTTGGTCGACTACGAGTCTTACACCCCTTTCCCCGCATGGGATGAAGAGGAAGGCGAGCTGCACCTGCAGCGTGATAAGATCCCTGCTCGCGCCTTGCGGACCCCATGTCCGCTACCTGACTTCTCGTCAACTGAGAAACGTGGTGTAATCACCAATGACCTCGACGGGGAACAGAGGAGCAGCTTGAAGCTGCCCATAAGGCGGCTCTAAACCGCGACCATCCACGGTCGGTCAATGATCCTCTTGTGGAATATGGCTTCCGCCCAGCGGATTTCGCTGTGGAAGCAAATGACGCGGTAACTCGATCGTTACGCGTCCACAAATCGGACCCCCGGCCAGAACGGATGATGAACTCGCCGAACGGAAAGCTCTTCGAGCTCGTTTTTTAGTCAAGAAATTCCGTTAGACATTTATCACACTCGTCTAAGTGCTCAACGAGGTGGCTCTCGTGTACCCGCACTGTGGACAATACCTGTAGTGCTCGCCCCTGGCGAAGGC